ACTCCACGGCCAGGCCGTCCACTGCCCATCAGGGAGAACCTCTAGCCTGGCACTCGAAACCGTGCCTCCTAATGCCCCTTCTACCCTCCCAGACTCATCCTGGGCTCCAAGCTGGCAGGTTGCCGCAGCTCCTTGTCGCCCCGAGCATCTGGCTTTCACACCTTTGCAGTCCTCTTTCAGCCACTGCAACTCTCCACTCTCCAGGATGACTGTCAACCTCCTACACAATCTTCAAAACACAATCTCTTCTCAATCTCGGTCTCTCCAGTGAGTGAGGGCACTCCTTCCTCTGCACCCACCCCTTCGCCAGAGAACATGGCTTGGGATGTTCCCTCCATGTTCTGTGCAGCATCTGGGCAGGGACCACGTGCTCCTGGCCACCGCGGATCCCTAGGGACTACCCAGTGCCTGGCATGTAGTAGGTGCTCTTGACATGTGCTGTGGATGACTAAATGACGGAGAATGCTTTCTAGTCTCACGGGTTGTGAAGGTTACCGACAGCGATGGGCTCTCCCAGACTGCATCCTCCAAGCTTACCCCTCCTTATTTCTTTACATTAAGAGCCTCTTTGTTATATTAAGAGCCTTGGGACCATAGGAGAAGAGATCTAAGACTGTTTCCTTTCCACCTCAGGACCGTTGCACACACCATGCTCTCTGTCTGGAATACTTTTCCCTAGCTTATTCACGTTCTCATCCTCAGGTGTCAACTTCAGGGGAAATGAAATGGCTTCTTGCAGGAGCCTGTCCACTGCTTCTGAAGTGCATCTGCGCTGTTTTTGTCTCCTCCATAGAAATCACAGTCCTGGGACTGCTTTAGTGACTATCTCTACTTTTGGGTTTATGACTTATCTCTGCCTGGAACATCAGCCCCAGAGCCTGGATAACTTGTCTGTTTGTTCACCCAAGTGTTCCTCGTACATGTGAGCACAGTAGATTCTCAGTGAGCAGCCAGCAAGTTCACACGATTGTGTGACCAAGAGTGACCAAGAGTGACCATGCAGGGTCATGCAAGGGGCAGCCCAGGAGATGGCCCCTGAGAGTCTGTTTCCCCATCAGCTTTGTCACTGTCCACAGGAGCTCCCCCGCCGCCCCCGTGGGGTGACACCCTCAGTTTCAGAGTCTATGTGACAGTGACTGCCATCAGCAGACAGTGACAGGGACCTTGCAGTCAGGGCCTGGCTTGCCAGCATCACTTGTCACATTCTCTGCTAAGCAGGGTTCTAGAATTGGGCTGGGAAAGCCTGATCAAGCAGTCATGGGCAGAAGGGAGACTCTGCCAACAGCCCAAAATGGGACCTGGCCACTCATGCCCAGCTGAGGTGTGGAAACAGGATCTAGGCACACCGTCCGTTTGTGCTTTGTGTTAGCAGCTTAGTTAGGGGTGCTGGGCATCGGGGAAATGTCTGCTGTGTCCAGCCTGTGTGACCTCTCAGCTGATCTCCCCTGCCAGGCTACAAATCTCTGCAGACTCAGCTTCCACCAGCCTGAGCAACCTCCCCTCCCAGGACCTCTCTGTGTGACCCTGCTAGGGTGGCACAGTGCGGCCCAGCCCAGCCCAGCACGGTCCTGCCATGCAGCCTTGTGTCTTGGGCAGCCCTGCCCGGACCACAAGGCCTCTCTCCTCTTCCCTGCGGTGGTGGCAGCTCCCTATACCAGGATGGCCGAGACAAAGCAGAAGAAAGAAGATGCTTTAGACCTCCACAATGTGAGGCCACCATGTCAGGAGCTGTGGCAGAGCTGCCCGTCCTGGGCAAAGGAGGCTGAGTGCTACCAACTTGCACTGGTAAAGTTCACAGGGACTCACCCCTGTCTACACCAGCAGGCCCTTGGCAGATGAGGGAACAGAAGCCAGAAGGGAGCACTTGCATTCCTGGCTTCCCTGGGGACAGTTCTGGTGGCTGGACCCTTGCTGGGCTGCTGAGAGCTGCAGGCTGGGTCCCTGCTGCAGGCTGGGTCCCTGCTGCAGGTGTCCTGGCAGCTGGGGCCCTTGTTGGGGCCCTGCCCGGCCCTGGGGAATATTCTCAGATCAGTGTAGAAGTTCCAAATTTACTCAGAGCTCTCTTCTGAGCTGTCATGAAAAGTCCCTTTGGCCTGGGGCCAGGGCAGAATGGGGGTGGTAGCACCTGTGAGCCTTGGGGGAGTGGGGCTTCTCCCAGTACCCCTCTCCAACTCATGGGGACCTGGAGAAGCAGAAGGAAAAGGGGCAGTGGGCAAGAAGACCCCCTGCTCAAGGATGTGCTTGTCCCCTTATCTTGTGGCTTTCTTCTCTGCTTCACAATGTCCTCCTGGGTGACCCTAGAAAATGCCCCTCCATCTCAACCCTCAGTTTCCCCATCTGCTAAAGGAGTGTGGACCACATAAGATCCATCATTAGTTGAGGATTCTACGGGCTGGTATTCCAACCAGAAATAAGACTATTATTACCAAAATTATTTAAAGTAAAACCTAATAGTTGCTTCTGTCTGTCTGTCTGTCTGTCTCTCCCCCCTGGCCACCCCCCCCCCCACATTTCCCTCTTTTGCAGTACTAGAGACTGAACTCAGGACCTTCACGCTGATTTACATCCCCAGTCCTTTTATTAAAAATTTTTTACTTTGAGACAGGGTCTTGCTAACTCCTAAATTGTCCAGGGTGGGCTGAAATGTGTGATCCTCATGACTCAGCCTCCTGGATCGCTAGGATTATAGGTATGAGTCATCAAACCCAGCTTAGCTACTGCTTCTTGAGAGCCACCTGTGGGTCCCTACTAAGCACTGGTTCTCATCACAGCACTGGCTTGGGCTCGGGCACTGAGGGTGCAGACCTTGGAGTAACTGGCCAGTCAATCCGTGCGTGTCAAAGCCTCCCAAGACACCTGCAGCCTACGTGCTCCCCCACTGGCTTTCTGACACGGAGTCCTCGCTCTGCTTCGTAGGTGATCTCCTCTCATCACAGGTGAGGCCGCACGGCACAGAGAGCTTGGGGGCTCTCTCAGGGTCACACACGCAATAAGCTGAGGATCTGGGACTTGAACCCAAGTCAAGCTTATTACCAAGTCCCAAATCACAGACAGCTCCCTCCCTCCATCCCACCCCACAATGCCAGGGCTTGGGCTCTGAGGCCAAGGAGCACTGCGCCTGTCTGCAGGGGCCTGGGACACTGACAGGAGGGGACCCCTCCTGTCCTGCATGTGTGTGGGTCCCAGGCACCAGTGTCCCTAGAGCTGCAGAAAAGTCAGTGCCTCCCCAAACTAGTGCCTCCTCGGCCCATCTTCTCCCCTGCCGATCTCTGCCGCCTCCTTCTCCTCCATCTCTTCCTCCCTCTTCCTTTCTTGGCCTCTGTAGAGACCCGGGCTCATTGGCCACCTCCTGTCATGGACACTGGCCAGGGTGGGATGGGTAGGACCAGGGCTTCTTCAGAGCCCACCTGGGGACCTGTGGTCTGGGCCTCTCTGCTGCAGGTCACTCATCACTGGGAATGGATACCCTGCCATCAGGACCCAAAACCCCTTCTTAAAGGTGGCCAGGCCAGGAGTCCCTTTTGGCCTTATCCTGTCCCACAGGCTGTTCCTCGCCATCATACAGACTGGGGCACAATTTCAGCCCTGCATCTCCCAGTCACAGTCAACCTGGGACCAAAGTTGGCCTGGCTGAGTCTCAGTCTTGTCACCTGTGAAACTGGCTGCATGAGGTCACCAGCCTTACCCTATGCTTTGCGGTTCTAGAAGATTCTCAAACACCTCCAACCTGGTGTACGCTGGTACCAGAAGGATGGAGCCACAGAGACAGGAAAGGGAGGGCCACCTTTACAGAGCATGTCCCCATACTCTCGATTCACTTTCTTCTCCATGGGCCCAAGGTTCCCCAGTGTGCAAACTTCCCACAAAAGGGACAGGCTGTCTGTGTTCCAGCTTTCACATTACACCCTGCAGATCTTGTAAGCAGCCCCACAGGATGACACTGCCTTTGCCCCCATTTTACAGATGGGTATGCTGAGGATGGAAGGGAAGCATTCTATCAATGATTCTGTTTTTTTTCTTCCTTTCTTGTGCTTCAATCCTCCGCCTCCATGAGCCTTCTGGCTCCATTCTCCTCACACATGAGAAGAAAGGAAGAGAGAAGCAGACAGATCTGCACATTCACCCAGCTAGGGAGCTGAGGAACCGGGTTTTGCCCTCTAGGTTTTCCCCACTCCACCATGTGCTCTGAAACGCTGCCATCCCCAGAAAGGTGCAGATGTCCTCCTAGGAGCAGCCTTGGGGCTTTTTGATGTCCTGGGACAGCTTCCTATGCTCCTGCCAAGCACCAATGTCACCTCTTTGTCAGGTCCTAAGTCCTCACCCCGTCCGTCCGTCTCCTTCCCAGCGTCTCCACCAGGACTGAATCTGTCTGTTTCTTCCTTTTCTGTGCCTCAGGCCTCCCGACTCCCCTCTCCGCCACACATGAAGGATGAGGATGGGGAAGGATGGGGAGCCAGCTGTGGGTCCCTGGTGTGACTGCCCCCCACCCAGCTAGTGACCTGAGGAAATCACTGTCGTTCTCGGGTGAGATGAGCATGCCAACCCCGCATGAAGGATCAGATTAAATAAAGGTGGTAAAACCATGGCGAGGTCCCTCCGCACCAAAATGAGCCTCCCCAAAGTGCCAGTCTCTTCCTGTATGCTTGTCTTTGCCTGGAGCGGCTGTCCACACCCAGGTGACTGTCACCTCACATTTGGCCAGCACTGGTTTCCTTGCCCAGCTCCTGCTTCTAGTCTGCACGGGTGAGGGTCCCCCAGCCGTGCCCCTCCCACACCCCCCCAGGCCTCCCGAAAGGGTTCTGGTCATTCTGAGCTGGCTGACAGGACTCCAGCTCTGGCCTGACTGCTGATCCTTCTGTGCTGCGTCCCCAGTGGTGACCTGGGCTCCTCAGAGCCCTCCCACCTGCTGTTGTGCTAGATGCTGCGGGTCAGGCCCAGCTCTCAAAGGGGCAGAGACAATACCCTGCCCCAGGGAAGGCCAGTGGCCGCAGCCCAGTTACCTGCTGTTTCAGTTTGCTCAGAAGTCCATTCTGTGTGCGGGGTGGCACTCTGGTGGCCTCCTGGGGGTGGAGGTGGGAGATGAGGGTCTGAGAAAGCCAGTCTGGGGTGAGAATCCACAGCCAATCCGAGCCACCGGACAGTCACCCAGACTGAGGGACAGCTGGGCTTCTGAACAGGTGTCCCCGGAAAGGAATACAGTGACAGAAGACAGCCAGACAGAAGGAGGAAGGAGTCCCACAGGAACCAGCTGGCTGCACCTGGGCTGGACAGACAGGCAGGCAGACAGACACATGGAGAGTGTGTGGCCGGCCGTCAGTCACATACAGAGGGAAGCAGAACACTAAGCCTGAGTCCTCCACTGCCGCTGGTCAGCCATTGCCATCCCTGAAGCAGGCGGGGAGGAGGAGGAGGATGTGGTGAGGGTGCCACCCCGCCCCCTGCAGGCTCCTCCTCCAGCTCGCCAAAGGTCACCTGCTAGGGAAACTCTGGGGTGACATCTGCCTCCTGGGGCCAGATGATGTCATCCCCACAGGCCTCACACTGTGTCTTGAGGCAGGCAGTGTGGCTGAGTCCCCTCTTCTCTCTGATGTGGAGGCCAGGTGTGGGTGTGTGAAGAGATGGCGTATCCTGCCGACTGCCCTGTGGTCCAGTCCAAGCCCAGCTCACAGGGAACGGGGCAGCCCAGCCCTGAGTCCAGCCCAAGGCCTAGGAAGCCTCTCCTCCCACGGCTGAAAGTCTCTCTGGTCCCTTCCCTGCCTGCCTGCCCTGTAGATCCCTGAGTCTGAGAACCTTTCTCCCGTGACTCAGATGCTCCTGTCTTTCTCCCTGGGGTCCAGCCTCCTGCTTTAGCAATACAAAGCACTGGGGATGTAACTCAGTGTGAAGGCCCTTGGTTCAATCCCCAGCAGGGAGTGGGGACAGAAAAGAACCAAGAAGAACCCAGGGACAAAAAGCAGCTATCTGCTGCCCAGGGACCTCAAAAGAGGAAGGACAAGCAGATCGCTCCCATCACCACCACCACCGTGACCCCCACAACCCCCACCTCGCCATGCACAGGCGTCTATGTGATCTCCTTTTATCTCACAAAACCTTGAGGAAGACAAGATCTTCCCTATTTTTCACACGTAGAGACTGAGGTTAGGAAGAGTGAAAATCCTCAAAGCCACAAAGTGTCAGAGCTGGAATTTGAACCTGGGGTCTCTGATTCACGTGCTTGCCCAGCCTGAGGCCCAGAGCAGGATGAAATGATCTCAGGGTGGGCGGGATTTATCACACAAACCTCCTCTCCCTGTCTGACTCATTTTTGGGAAACACATTGCAGCAGGTCCACATGACCACTCCAGAGAAAAAGAGAAAGCATCTTTCTGTTTATTTGTTTTTCCCCTCTTGGCCTCGATGTTGGAGGAACGCAGTATGAATTCCCCTGGGGTGGATTGGGAGGGCTCCGGGCCTGCACACAGCACCTCCTCCAGACTGCCGGCCATCTCACGGTCTCTGGAGGACGACTTCGGCAGGCGGTCTGCTTCCTTTTCTCTTTCTCTTCATCTTCATCTTCAAAGTGAATCTTCTGATCTCGGGCCCTAGAATTAGCAGTGGCTGAAAAGTCAAGAGAAGGAATAGCAAAGATGTTAATATCTGTGAAGAGCTCACTGTCAGATTTTTCAGGACTGCAACACAGTCTCTGCTGGGTGTGGCAGGGCACACACCTAGCCCCGCACTCCAGGAGCCTGAGACAGAAGAATTGCAAGTTCCAGGCCAGCCAGGATAACCACCCTAGCTCCAAATAAAAAGATAAAATGGGCCAGGGATATAGCTCAATGGAGAAGACCCTTGAGTTCTGTCCCCACTGTCTACCACCCTCCAAACAGCACTATCTCAAACCTCGAGATCGCTCCAGAAGACAACTGCGATTATCACCTTTATTTGTTTGTTTTGTTTTTTATTTTTTGAGACAGGATCTCACTACATAGTACAGTCTAGCCCTGAACTCACTATGTGGCCCAGATTGGCCTTGAACTCGCAGTGATCCTCCTGCCTCGGCCTCCCAAGTGCTGGGATAACAGGCGTGAGCCACCGCGCCCCGTGTCATCAGCATCTTTATCCTCATTGTCATCTTCACTGGGTTACACATGAGAACGAGAGGCTCAGGGAGACCAAATGACTTGTCTTCCCTCCTCCTTTCTCTGCCTTTTCTCCCTCTTCCCTCCTCTTTCTCTCTCTCCTTTCTCTTCACCAACAACATTATTGAGCAGACCCTGGTTTATGGGAAGAGTGTGACAGTTCTCCTTGATTCCATTATTCTGGAGGAGAGAGACAGACACAGCAGACAAAGTAGAGTACGTGTAGATTGTGCTCGGTGTCATAAAACACTGACAGGAGGTCTGGGCTGTAAAACATAGACACACTGGACCCTCAGAAGGAGCCAGACACGGGGACACTGTTTCAGATAAGAGGACCTGCAGGTGGGGAAGAATGGTGCTTGCACCAGGACCCCGGGAGCAGAGCAGGGCAGGGAGATGACAGAGAAATGACAGAAGGTGATCACAAAGTCGCATCTTGTGCAGGCCCCACGGGCCATCGCAAGACCCAGCAAGGAGGGTAGATTTTGTTCCAATGGAAACAGGAAGTCATTTGAGGTTTTCGAAGGAGGCTTAATTCAATTTGTTACCTATCAAAAGGGGTTTGGGGTTTGAGGTGGGCAGTGGGTGGGGAGCAGCACTTAGTCCCTAGAGAACATGAAGATGGTTTGGGAGCTGTAGATTTAACAGTTGCCGTAATCACGTCCATCAGGGTGAACATGAGCCCACCCAAAGGTAGATGTATCTTCAGAGAGGGTTCGTCTGGCTCTGCACACAGCTCAGTGTGGTCCTGTCGCTTTGGAAGGGATATGTGATCAGACTTCCGCAGCATCCCAACCATCTGAGCACCACCTGGAGCCGAGCAATGGAGAGGAAGTGGCCACATCTGTGTTTCAGGCGAGTGGTCTCCTGCAGACAAAATAATAGAGACAACTTCTCGCTCAGCCCATTTCTTCTTTTCCGTTTTGTCAACATCTTGATTGAGATATGATTTATACAAGATGCAGTCACCAGCAGTGTACTATTCAATTTTTTTTGATAAGTTTAACCAATAGTACAGCTTTCACCAGACTCTAATTTTGCAAAATTTCCACCATCCCAAAGAGACCCCTTACGCCTGTCTGCAGCTACTGTTCCCTGACACACACTCCCATCTATGTGATTTGTTTTGGTTTGGTTTAGTGTTTGGTTTTTTGAGACAAGATATCACAGTCATTCAGGCTGGTCTTGAACTCACTATATAGCCCAGGCTGGCCTTGGACCCTAAGTGATCCTCCTGCCTCAGAGCCTCCTGAGTGCTGGGACTCCCTATGTGCATGCAGCAACATGCCCAACGGAAATCTATCTTTGGCTTTTCCTGGTTTTTCCTTTGATGAGAATTGCACACAAGTCGGTCACAGAGTGTGTTGTCTTTTGTGTCTGGCTTCTTTCACTCAGTATAACATGTTTGACTGTGATCTGTTGTAGCATGTTTTGACTTGGCATTCATTTTTATTGCTGAATACTGTCCTGCTTTATGGATATGCTATGATGTTTATCCTTTCATCAATTGGTAGATGTTTTTATTTTTATGTGACAGCAGGGTTCAAACTCATGACCTTGTGCTTGCCAGGTAGGTGCTTTTGCCGCTGAGCTATATCCTCAGCTGGAAGACATTTTAAATTGTGTACACTTTTACTTTATCATGAATAAAAGTTCTATGAACACTGGCATACAAGTCTTTGTGCAAACAAGCATTGTCAACCCTCTTTGGTGTATACTCAAGAGTGAAATTACTAGGTTATTTGATAATTTTATGTTCACCATATTGGACACTGTTTTCCCTAGAAACTGAGCTATATTAATTCCTACCAACACTTTTTTTCTCAACACTTACTTTCCTTCTTGTTTTAAATAAAAGCTTCCATAGTGGATGTGGTTTTGTTGTGTGTTTCCATAATGGCGAATGACAAGCAACTTTTCACGTGGTTAGTAGTCAGTTGTATATTTTCCTTGAAAGACTGTGTCTTGCTAAGTTTTCTCTCATTGTTGAGACAAAATACCTGATGCCCAAAGTGCGCAAGGGAACGTTTATTTCTTACAGTGTTGGGGGTTTCAGTCCATACTCAGCTGGCTCCAAGGCAGAGAGGTGTGGCGGGGCAACTGTTCATGACCACCACAAACAGTAAGAAAGAAGAGAAAACACACCTTCTTCCTACCCTTACATTGTGTCATGGTTTGTGTCAGTGGCCCCCAAACCTCATGGAATTATGGATGGGACCAAATCTAGCATTTGGATTGGTGGTGTGAGTGTTTCACCCGCCCAGGGGTGGAGTCAGGATATGATGTAACTGTGGGAAGAAGGTGTGTCTCTCTCTCTTGCTGGTTTCCGCCCTGCTGTTTGCAGCAGCCATGAACTGGAGGCTCTGCCATGCCTGCTGCCTTGGAGCCAACTGAGTATGGACTGAAACCTCCAAGAACTGTACGAAATAAACCTTTCCTTCCCTAATTTTGAGCATTAGGTATTTTGTCTCAACGAGTAAAAAGTAATTAAAACACACTGTATGCCGGCTCCACCCCTGGGTAGGTGCAGCACTCACACCACCAATCCCAGTGCTAGACAATGAACCAATCATGAACACTAGATTCAGCCTACTACATGATTGCATGAGGCTTGGGGTGGCCACCTAGACATAAACCATAACAGAATGTCTATGCAAGTTCTGTGCCAATTTTTAAATTGAGTTGTCATTTGTTGGGTGGTTATATATTCTGGATACTTGATCATTATCTGATATATGATGTGCAAATATTTTTCCCGCTCTTTGGATTGTCTGTTCATTTTTGTTTCTTGGTTATTTGTCTATTTGTTTGTTTGTTTTTGAGGCAGGGTCTCCCTATGTATTGGCCTTGAACTCAATTACGTAGTCCAGGCTGACCTCAAACTCATGGCAATGCTCCTGCCTCAGCCTCCCATGTGCTGCGATTACAGGCATGAGCCATCATGCCACCTTCATTTTGTTGACATTATGCTTTTATATTTTTGTGAAATGTGATTTTTTCCTTTTTATTGTTACTTTGGTGTCTATCGAATTCATTGCCAAATCTAAAGTCATGAAGATTTCACCATGTTTTCTTCTAAGAGTTTTACTATTTTAGCTCTCAAATTTAGACCTAAAATCCATTTTACATTGATTTTTATATGTGGTGTGAGGAAAGGGTCTCTTGTATATGGAGACCCAAATGCCCCAGACCATTTGTTAAAAACACTGTTCTTTCCTCACTGAATGATCTTGACCTTGTTGTCAGAAATTAAGATATATAGGTTTACATCTAGACTCT